CTGTTAGTTTCTAATATTGTTGTAAAGAAACAGAAAATAAAATCAGTGAACTGTAACAGCAGGATTCATCACAATTTAATCAACAGTTTGATTCCAGGTCATTAGACAAAAACTGAAACTAAATGGCAGTGCCTTTAATTGACTATAATTTTGTTATAATGTGAAAGACTAAAAAAATGCACAAACCCGTGTTATAAAGAACTTTTCTTCGTTTAAACATAAATAATCTGGAACAGTTTACCTTTCAGTAACGTAAACAAAACTGTATGTTTTTTAATCACTTACACAAAACTGTAATAATTTTAAAGTTGTACCATTCCCTGCAACATGAAACTTAAACACCTTCAAAGAGCCCAATCATTTGGCAATGGGGTCGCAGAATGTTTTGAAGAGGAAGCCATGCCAGCACTTATTGCATCCTTTGATTGCCAGAATTCTTTTTCCAAGGGCTTTTGTTCTGGAAGAACACGCAACACTGAAAATGAGAGTAGCAAAAACAGTGTTTTGTTTGAATAAATCCATTGTTGATTTTTTTCGTTTTTTTGTGTGTCCTACTAGAAGTTTTGCCTATAAAGACTATGAGTGTGCAACAATTTTTTGTTACATGCTTTTAGGAAATTCTTCACCACAGGAATACCACGTCCAGCATGAAAGCAGGGTACCTTTTTTCCCTCTTTTCCACAGTAAAGTACAGTTGATGGAATAAACTGCAAGCAATAATTTTTTTTTCTGTTTTTCGTACCGCATCAGGATAGGTGGAAGTTGAAGTTATCTTCAGATTCTCAAGATTGTTATGTAATAATGGAACAACCAGCTGCCCATGTACCTCTCCCCTTTTTTCTCATAAGTCAAATGTTTGGACCCCTGTTGGACTTATTACATCATATTCCTCTCAGTGTGTATTAAAACATGCAAACATTAAATTTAAACTAACGATCCAACATGCCGTAAATGGATGTTAAATACTAGTGAATGCCTTCCCACTATTATCACAAACTTCTTGAAGTGCAGCCAGGAAGGTGTCCTAGTTACGGAAATTTCTTGGCAAGGTTACATTCTTTGTGCAAGTAGGGGAAAAAATGGAACCAGCATCCTCAAATTCGATCCTGATCCTTCCTAAACCAAACTCTGGTAAGCAGGGTGCCCCAGTAGCAAAGGTGAGGAATGCCTTTAGAATATCTGGTGTTGCACCAACTATGAACTCAGTCATGTGCTCCATGAAGGTTTTTTCAGCATCACTCATCTCTGATGGAAACATCAATATTTCCTTGATGTCAGAACCCTTCATTTCCTTTTCTCCTGCCACAATTAGCTCTTTGAAAAGCTCAGGATATTCTTGCATTCTGGACCTGAATCCCAGAGTCTGAAGCCCTTCCCTTAGTTGATCTAAAAGTATTTTGGGCTTTCCAATGGCATCATGTACAATAAGGCTTTGGATGACTCGCATTTTGTTATCATTCTGAAAGACATTCACAGAACAACATAGTTATAATTCTGGCTGTAAAAGAAAGCTTTGAGCGATTTTCTTGCCTCGAGTTCATCTTTGAAAAAAGTAAATACCGGGAAGCCGGCTTAAAACATAACGGTCAGTGTAAAACGCAGACTGCGGACTGCAGATTGCAGACTGCGGACCAGGGGTAAAATGCAGACTGTGTGCAAAATGCAGACTGCATACTGGGAGTCAAGGGGGGCTGGCAACGGCCTTTGATCTTGCCGCTTTTCGGCTTTCCATGATCGCCCCAGTTAAGAAATCTGTCAATCATTCGAGAACTGTAGCGAGCGTGCGCGAAACGGGTTGGGAAAAACAACAAAAAGCTCATCTTCGCAGCGATTCGACAGTGTGTAAGTGAATTCGCGTTTACAGTTTTAGTCCAGTTGGTCATTTCTTTCTTTCGACTGTGCCGTAACCAATTTTTTTCCGCGGTAATGTGGAGCTACGTTTTCCTTTCTTCTGGTCTTGCGTTTGTCATTACATGCGGTTTACTACGCTAGGAACGAAGAACGAAACCAGTGAACATGTTCCTCGATGTCCGACCTTTTGACTATGTGTTTCTGTTTAGAAGACCCACAAGACTAACAGAAGGGCCAGCCCTCTAACACGTATGTAGAAGAGTTTATATTTTCAAGTGAAAGGCCCAAAATTAATTCTTCGCAGTATTAAAAAAAGTGCGGTGGCCGTGGTCGAGTAGAAGAGTTGTCAGAGTTGTTTACGGTTTTACTACACCTTTAAGACGAGACGAAATGATGATTGAGATTCTTAATTTTACATCCTTGATTGTGAACTTATCCTGGCAGAGTTGCGTTGGATGATCGAGTAGCATGGTCAAATCTCGTAGTTCATGTATTTCTTTATGTACTAGAAGCTGAATAAATTTTGCCAAGGGATCATTCTCTCTTGATTTTGCATATGTTGATCGTTCTTCGTGTGATTTAATTTAAACTTTACCGTAGTTTCTAACAAATGAATCTTAGGCAGATGAAAGGGTAATTAATTTTTTGTGTTTGGAATTCTCTTTTCATGACTGCAGTTATTACACTTCCTTCAGTTTGAGTCCTCATTCAAGTGTGTTTTGTTGCAAACAAAGAGGGAGAAATTATAAATTCCAAAAACTACACTACCCCTTGGAACAAGATTATGGTTTAAAAAAGTTGGGATTAGCTAGGTTCAGAAAATAAATGTTCAAGTTTGCATGTTTTGACAAGGACCACATCTGGCAAAATATGTTTCAAAGGGAATTTATAAAGTCAGGAAAATGGTGATATTTCTATTTTTGCCTTCCCGATACGGTCAGGCGATACTGGTCAGCAGAAACACTATTCTGACAGCTGTCAATTAATCAAAACATGGATGTACAATATCAGGTTGCAGGCTTCCAAACTAGCTAGAAAGTTTGATATTAAACATGGGTATGCCTGTGGTGCGGACCGACGGAAGGTCGGGTGGTCGGTGTACGGTCACGTGATTGCCGAATTTTCTAGGATGGATAGATTTTCTAAGCTATGGGGCTTCGAATTGAGCCCGTGATCAAATTAAAATATCAGCCCAAAACTTTAAACACTACGTGACCTCAATGGACAGAAAAATGAGCCCGCGATACACTCAGGTGATGATGGTCAGCGTATACTCTAGTTTGACAGCTGTCAATTAACCTTCATTAGAGTGGCGAATATTCGAATTAACAGACTACGAGTGTGTGTAAGACATATCCGTCTGGCATGTAGTGGAAAATGCCAGATTGTGTACCTGAGCGAACCTGAGCCCATGTTATGAGTTTTCTGATAGTGGACTGCAGATGTCCCATTTTGACAGCTGTCAATTGACCTTAATTTGGCTTGCCAATATAACATTAAGCGACTGTCAGCCAACTGACAGCCTTGCCCGGCGTAGTTTCGTTTTTATGTTGAATTGGTAAGTGTGACATATTATATCAGCTTATATGGAGGGGCAAAATGACTGCTCTGGCCACGTGATAATTGTCAGCGGTTGTCTGATTTTGACGGCTGTCAATCTAATCGTAGTCATACGGATGGTTTACATAACTAAGAGGCTAGTCAAGTTGTGCAAGATCTATTGTGGCTTTGACATCGGCTTAAATGAAGTGTGTGTACGGGTGGGCGTACGCTACGTCATAACCAAATTTTCTTACCCATGGTGCTTCGCGCGCGCGAGAACTCCGCTATTAATCTTTGACTATTAAGCATTACAAAAATGCATGATAGCAAGGATAAAACGGTAGCTTTCACTTTGAAAATCGAAATTTAAATTTGCCCCTCATAATCTCCTTTTGGCCGCCATCTTGAATTTTGGGGAAGGCTGAAAAGTTGCTTATATTCTTTTAACTTAAACAAATGTTGTTTTAGCGTAGATTTAAAACATATTT